GTCTAAATAAATCCGCAAATTCATTGGACGTTTTAAATATCATCTACAAACTCTTCGAGCTTTCTTGAAGAAATTATTACGAGCCCTTTCTGCTACTTCTTTTGCTTCATTACCGTATGTCTATTGAAACAGGTCGATATCACTTGGTAAAAATCTAGAATCAAGTAGGATTACAAATGTCGTTATATAGATCTGAAATCTATATCCTTTAAAATGCCTGTACTTACAGATAAATCTATTCGCAATTGCTAGATTCATAAATATAAAATCCGCACGCACATTGCGTCCACACGTGATCATTTTTTCGTACTTATTTATATAATACATATTAGGCCAATAGATTTAGCAACCTATGGATTTATAAACTTGCGCATAAAAAATGTGCAAAACGATTAAGCAAGTATCTTAATTCCTTTTTATCTTACAACGAAGAGAGAAAGTTAAGATTCGACAATCTCGAGAACTTAATTACGATAGAGGATTAGTACGATTATTCAACAAGGTCATCTCACCCATATTTACCCCGTACCGAAAAATTGGAGAACAATCGAATATCGTTCCGCGTATGTTCACGTATGTAGCACCGAGCGCCTTTGAATAAAGGCGAATTGGATTGTTACATCGACGACTAATTACAGAGAACGGCGGCGACTCTTCGATTCTTAGATTGATTTGTTTTATAAAATGTGGCCTTAAACTTTACAAAACATTGGCGCGCGCGGCTTCGCACACACGCTAATTAAGAAACATCGTTACTTTGTTACAATAAGGTACTCTGAAATCTCTGGATTTTTGGATGCAAAGTTCCAAAACTGTTAAAGGTTCCAAAAACTTTCGAATAACAGAGTTTCGAGGCGTGCTCTTATGTTCTTTGAATATGTTTAGACTTAAGTTACGGTGTCTGCAGTATTTTCTAGGTGCCAATTAATTCTTTTGGACTTTCAGCTTGAAAATTTTTAAGCAACAAGGTTCATCCTCTCATACGAGATCTGTTGGATATCTGTTAATTTTACATTTTTATTTTTCCGAATTTTAAACCTGATATTTGCGCGTATTCTAACTTTGTGATTTTCGTGGAGTCCCTTTGATTCTGTAACTTTTCGAAGATCCTCATATCATTAGACCCTTACATGTACTCCAAGGATAAATATCTTTGGATTCATCTTATACAATCCCTTATTACGTTTACATATTATGCTTAACAGATCTGTTAACTTGTAGCGATACGATTAAAAATTACAATAACTTTGGTATGTGACTATATTATATAAAGAGGCTCAGTCCTTCCTAGCGTACATAGTTAATACTCGTTAATTAATAAAATATACTTAATACTTGCCGTTAATTAATAAAAAGTATTCAAGTATTTCTGCACGCTGTACGTCATCATTATACGGTTTGGTTTTTCAAATCTGTTTGCGCGTTATAATTTAGTTATAAATAAATAATAGAAAACAAATATACATCCGATCTACAGTTCCCAATAACAGTCATCTTATCTAATTCATTTGTATGTCATTCGCGACGTGCAACGAATGAAAAGGAATTAACACATATTTTTTCATAGAGTCTCTATAATTTTCGCTGAATTTTAAGATCTGCGGGACTTGGATTAAATGATATATTTTAAACTTGGCTCGACTCGTATTGTAAGTTCTATGTAACTCGAATTCAAGATTGAATTTAAAGAATTTAATTTACAAAACTCAAATTGAAGCTATTTATCCAACTGTCACATTGGATCCTTATATATCGAGTCTCCTAGATCTTGGCCGTTTACAATCTTAGATACGTCAAAACTCGTGTTCGTCACATCTTGTATTCCTTCGATCTCCCCCCCCCCCCCACGGCTCTTCAACCTGGTGATTCCTATCAGTTAGTGATTACGCCGTATATCTATGAGAAATAATAATCTCCTCAAGAATACAATTTTTCCAATGTAGCGTCACCCTACAAGTATCTTAAAAATGCCGGTAGAATATTTAGAAATTAATAAAGCTACAATTTCTTTAGCAGTGACCGACTATCTATCTTACGGACACGCTCTTGGTTGGACAAGGCAGAGCAAAGAAAAGGAAAACAAGTTGAGAAAGTAAAAAAGGCGTGAACGAATACGTCAAACGACAAACAGATCTCTGCGAAATATCAATCAGAAGGGCGTAACAATCGCCGTTGCTTCGCCTCTACTCGACGGCAAAGAGGCGCACTCGTGCCACTTGTCTGTGTGCGGGTCATAACACTCTACGGTGGAGATTGTGATCTGTGTGCGGTAGAAATTGATTTCCTGCGACTGGTCGCCGCCTATGACGTACAGCCGACTGTCGGCCGCCGCGACCGCCGGATAAAATCTGCCCATGCTCATGGGAGCGACGACGCTCCATTTGTTCTGAAATATCAAATTGTTGTTGGTAATGTTTTTCTTCACCAGTAATTAAATCAATAAATCAATCAATTGTTTCGACATAACTGGCTGTGTATTTAAATTGTCACAACGACGTTTCGACTGCAAATCGCAGTCCTCTTCAGGTTTATTTACGAGACGAACATTGACGGATCCAAATTAAGACTATTGTGGTAGCAATAAGTTTTATACGTGATGTTCGTCAATTAATTCTAAACAGTTCTTTGAATTCGAGCAACGAGCAGGTTCCATGTCCATACATCTAGAGTATATCACGATGATCACAGCGCACACATCCGTGGTTTGCAGTCGAAACGTCGTTGTGACAATTTAAATACGCAGCCAGTTATGTCGAAACAATTGATTGATTTGCTGAAATATCAAGACGGATTTGTTGCGATTATGTTGAATTGTGCCACTATAAATGTCTATTACCCGTCAATTCCGAGAAAACCTGTACATTGAACGTGTTGACGTGCCAGAGACAAATTGAGTTATACCTTCTCGAAAGAGTATCTCTCGACCGACGTCAAGACCTCCTGATTTTTACTGGTACCGCCAACGACGTACATATACCCGTCGAGAATCGTGATTCCCATTTGCGAGCGCGGTGTGATCATCGGCGCCAGATAATTCCATTCTCTGGTCACGGGATTGTAGCTCATGACGTCCTGACGGTGTCGACTGTTATGGGTACAGCCACCCACAATGTAAATTAGTCCTACGGACAATTTGTAAGTTAGAGTTGGAACATATCTTGTCTTATGTGTATAAATATATGGAACGTAGAGAAATTAAGGATTGACCGTGTAGCTTGTTGTATTTTTACCGCTGATAAATTACGAGCAAGCAAATTGAATTGTCAAGCGACTATCGATTTTATTAATAGACTTCGGATTCAAAGTTATTACCTTCGTATGCCACGACTCCCATACTGAACCGTGGCTCGGGCAGATAGCCCTCGAGAGTCCATGTGTTGGTGATCGGATCGTATATCTCGATAGAGCCGCCGATATCCTCGCCCACCCATCCGCCGAACGCGTACAAGCTGTTATCCAAGGCACAAAGACCGAAATCGCACCTGGGTTCTTCCATGCAAGCGATAGGAGTCCACACGTTGTCGCGAGGATCGTAGCACTCGCAATTGGCGATTATACAGGACTCCAGCTCACCGCCGATAACGTATACCTTGCCGTCCAACAGAGCCACTCCAGGTAGAATGCGTCCTATGCTGATTGGAGCGACCTCGCTCCATTCTCTAAAGACACGTTTATTTATCAGATGAACGAGCGCAACCTTGTTCTAGTTATCTAACGAGATTTAACAATAAGAAGGAATTTATTTATCAATGGAAAAAAGTTCGATAATATGAAATGTAAAAGCCTGCGCGAATGAGGAAGGAATAAAGTAGGTTCGATGAGAAAAGGCAAAAGTAACGCTTAGATATAATCGAACATACATTATTCTCCAAGACTTAATTCAAGTCACTAAGAAACTTATTGTTAGTCGATTGCGTTTCTTAACGGCCACGAGTTGAAAAAGAAAAAATGTCGGAGATTGTACCCAGTGAATATGTCGTATTTCTCGATAGTCTCGTAAGTACTCTCGGCGGTTCTGCCCCAGCTGTCCGCGGAGTGTTCCCGCTTGGACCCGCCGATCACCAAGATGTTCTTCCTGGCGCAGATCCGGGGCTGGGCGTGAAGGGGCACCAGGCAGCCTTTGTTCGAGACTAGATCCTTTTGTATAGATCGCAGCGCGACGATGAGACTCGCGTCCTTGCACTCTAGAATAATACGCTCTAGCCTTGCTAATGAACACAGTCGCAAGCGTACATGGCTGAGGATCTCGAATACGTAACATCTCCGCGCGGGGATGTCGTGAACGACCCAATTGTACGCGGCCTGGAAGACCTGCGAAGAGTGAAGAATCATTTTTAACGTCTTACGCGCGCTCGGATTGTTTAATTTTTGGGGAAATAACGAACCTGACATTCAGTATCGATGTGAATGTAATCGCTACTAAGAAACTGAACAAGATGCTCCTTGGGCAAATCCAGAAATTCCTCCTCCTGACAGACTTGAGGAAAATTGGCTTCTATAAAGCGTAGGGCAGTCTCCAAAAGATCCAGTCTGTTGTGTACTTCTGCAAATCTGCAATTAGCAGCAATGCCAAATGTTCATACGATTGTTATATCTTGTTTCAAAATGATATTTTGCGTTTGTTTCTTGGGAGCAACAATAGGTGACTTTTGGCGATTGTTTGGATAGATATATACGAAAGTGTACCAGAGTGTATACTCGGCGCCACGAATGCTTTTACACCTGAAAATAGCCGTCCGGTTCTATATCATTTTATTAAAATAAATTTTCCTCTTGGATATCTCTTTAGCGTCTTTCGCCAGGTGTAAAGATATTCATGGCGCAATGGGAAAAATTATTCGACATATCTAGCAATATTTTATTTAAGGGAACACGCAACGTTTCAACCGAGAATTCCGATCTTTTTCAAGTGAAAAGCGTTTTAACACCGTTACGTTTTATTTCAACTAATCACCGGCGAAGAAAAGATTCTCACTATCGATATTCATGACGCTGAGCGTACACTCTGGTACACTTTGGTATATGTACCAAACAGTCACCAAAAATCGCCTAATATTATCTGTCTTCGAAAAGATGTCGCAAGACCTATTGGCACAAAAAATGGAAGAACTTTAATTAGTTTGTTTTACTATACAATTATTGAAGTTGCCGTGGCAATTTAAATTAATCAATTATAGCTGCTTAATTTTTATCTTTAGTTTGAATTACTAATGAATTTACTATTTTTCAAACTTTTGCTACTAACAACGTCAAATTTGGTTGACCGTGTCTGGCAATTTTTATGTTTAAGCATCACTACGTTTCGACCATGGGTCTTGGTCCTTTTCAAATGATCTAAGACAGTCGTGTACATAGACTCGCGTGTATTTTGGTGATGTAGAAAGGATTGTCGTTGATCACACAGTGCTATAAAAATTTTGTGTCGGAGTTTGCTACGCGAGAACATTACAATAACATAATAATTAATGGAATAAGGCTCCAGTGAAAATGTATTAATTTGGTCTACAACATAAAACTTTAAGTTAATATTAAACTGACCAACAAGGGCAATGTGAGCCGTCACCTGATATTAGGTGAATAAATGAATTTGGTTGACCGTATCGGGCAATTTTTATGTTTAAGCATCGCTACGTTTCGACCATGGGTTTTGGTCCTTTTCTAATGAAGATTTTTCGAGAATAGATGATATCTTATCCTGTACTTGGATCGATTCATTTATTCACCTAATATCAGGTGACGGCTCACATTGCCCTTGTTGGTCAGTTTAATATTAACTCAAAGTATTAAGAATATTCTTAAAGTCGCCAGCAGTAATTATAAATTAATAACATCGGTGATTTTTTGTCGACCGTGTCTGGCAATTAAAATTCTTATTGCGAAAAATATTACCCCAGCCAGGATTCGAACCTGGGACCTCCCTACAATCCGTGACTGGCGTCTTAGCCAGCTCGACCACCGGGGCTGTGATAATACTATTCGCAATAACGTGTATATAACTTTAAGATGTTGTTTACGCGTCTATTTCGACTTTTTCAGAAACTTATAATACTATTCGCAATAACGTTAACTTAAAGTTTTATGTTGTAGACCAAATTAATACATTACAATAACAATAATCAGAGTGTAACTCTTCCGCTCGTATGTTGTGAATACAAATATTAATTATTATTAGAGGCCATAATAACGAGCATTAGTGGATGTTCGTTCAGAAAGATATCACCGTTTATTTTTAAATTGTGGTAAACGTCTCGGCTATACTAAGCCTTCTTCAGTACATTACCCGCTTATGTATCGGTCGCGTACACGCAGAGCATTTTTCATATATCGGCAACGGATTGTTAGGCCAACTTTTTCGGAATCGGCTATGTCCAGAATATGTTTTTCCTAATCTATGAAATCGTTTGGTTCTTCGATGTAGCGCAACATATCACCTTTGGTTCTCTCATAGGTTGGCTTTAGACTATTTTTAGACTATTTTTGTAGAACATTACTTGAGAGATGACTGAGCATGACTGATCAAAACCCATGGTCGAAACGTAGCGATGTTTAAACATAAAAATTGCCAGATACGGTCAACCAAATTTGATGTCAATTATTGTTGGCGACCATAAAGATTTTTCCTGTTAGTTTTGCTAATAATTTACGATTAGTATCTATGTTAAATTTCTATTCCTCACGCTCCGAATAAAGAACGTTTCCAGGCAAAGCAAGAATATATCTACAATGTTCCTGCCGCAACGTCTTTTCATCTGTTCTTTAGGCATCTAGATTTGAATTTTCGCAGCCTTCTCTTGCCTGTAAATTCCAAGGGCATTCGAATAGTGCAGCTGCTGTTTGAGATAATTGATACAGCCAGCCACTACATCGTCCAACTCCAGCATGTCAGCGGCAGCAAACAGCTCCTGCACATTGTCCTGGGTGATGTCTATGTTGCCGCTGTAGATAAAGTCCACCAGCTGGGAGAGAATGTGAGGGGAGACGGAGTGGATCTCCACGAGCTCCTGCTGCTCCTCGACCAGGCCGACGGTGAACATGGCGTTGAAGTAGGCGCTACCGGCGGCCAGGACCGATCTGTGCGCCCTGATGACCCGGTCGCCCGCCACCAGCCCCACGTCGCTGAACTTGTTCTCCCGCCTCTGCGCATTGAGATTGTGCAGAAGCTTCGGGGGGTAGTGGCCCACCGCGTAAACGACGCTGGGCACATCGGACGACTGCTTCACCGGTTGATTAGCAAAGTCCATGTTAGAATTGTGGCCATTTTTCAGGGTCGGCGCCACACCATCCGCCATGAAACCATCAAGATGTGCTTTATCCACAGATCCTGCGGAAGAGTCGACACAACTTGTACAGAAACACGGTCATTTATTGCTCCGGCCTGTACGTGTGAATAAAGGCTGGTCTACAATACACGGAGTAAGCTGGAGTAAGGAAATAAATCCATTTTATTTCCTTACTCCTACTTCAGCTCTTAGGCTCACTCTCGGTGAATCAAAATGCCATAAATTAGTGTTACAAGTATTTTAAAAATTATGCCCGTATTTCAGCTTCCTCACACCAAAAGCTAGAAGTTAGGGCTCTCCCTTACTCCTTACTCCACGCTTACTCCACGCATTGTAGACCACGCATAATAGTATTATGATTTCAAGTCATCAATTCCAAAAAGACGAAATTCATGGTCGTGTCCAGGGACTTGAATGCACTCAACAACTCCAGAGTAACAGTTGATGACAGACCCATAGAAAGGGTTAACAAATTCAGGTATCTGGGAACATGGTTGTTTGAACATTGGACATCAGACAATGGGATAAAATGTAGCATAGAGCAGGCTCGACGGACCTTCTTAAAACTAAGAAGAGTGTTAACCCGTTCGGAGTTTGACCTTGACTTAAGAATAAGATTCGTGAAATGCTACGTTTGGTCGGTGCTCCTTTATGGAATGGAAGGATGGACTCTGAAAGTGAGTGCTGTCAACAAACTGGAAGCCCTCGAAATGTGGCTGTATCGCAGGACCCTTAGAGTGCCATGGACGGCAAGAATGAAAGATGAAGAAGTTCTCGAACGTGCTAACAGGGAACGTGAGCTGTTTAATATAATAAAGAGAAGAAAGACAGCTTACCTAGGACATGCGAGGTGAAAGATATCAATTCCTACAGTTGATAATTGAAGGAAAGATTGAGGGCAGAAGGGGCATGGGAAGGAAGAAGGTGTCCTGGCTGAGAAACATAAGACAGTGGACGGGATTGCGGTATTCGCAGTCACTGGTAAACACCGCAAGAGACAGGAAAGCAATGGAAAATGTGATCGCTAACATCCATTAGTGGATATGCATCAGAAGAAGAAGATATCAAATCGATCCGAGCGTTCTGTTTCCTGTGCAGTATAGATTTGCAGAAATACGTAGGATTATAAATTTAATAAAAGCTCCAATTGAGCTACTTGCGAATCATCCCTGTCTTAATAATTCTAGGAAAACGGACATTTTATCTGAACAGGAAGACAGACGTTGCTTTCAGATTGACGTGCAAACGCTCCAAAAGACTGCGTGCGCGACGGCACAAGGAACCGATTGCAAAACCTAGACGTATATTTGTGGGTGCTTTCCAGCAAGAGACACAGACCGACACGCAGTGTGGTATAGAGAATCATTTTGTCTTCGTTCAATAATGGCACACGACGGAGACAAAACGATTCGCTGTGTCACACAGTGTCGCCCGTGTACGTTGCTGGGAAGCGCCCGCGGAGGAAACTTTCGTGAAAGAAAAACCAGACAAGTCAACGTGACAAACTTGCCAACGCGTTCCGGACGTCGGATGGAAGATCATAATTCTGTAATCAGGCGTTTTGCAATCGACGAGCCTCCTCCAACGACTCGGCCGGGTGACTTAATTGTTACGGGGGATCGCTTCGCGTTGACACTCACGGCATAGACGAGAAAGCACCCTGTAGACGCTGTAGAACGATTTTGTGTTATTCTTCCCCTTTAGGCGCATCACTACCACCGCATGTTTGGCCGACGCGTCAATCGATTCCGTGCTCGCGGACAGGTCGCTTCCTGGAAACGTCGCGTGAGAGAGAGAGAGAGGGACGGCTCCCGCTCGCGCGAATTAAATAATAAATTTCGCTGACAAGAAGCTTGACATACGTCAGATAACCTATTTAAGTACGCGAAACTAGCGGAGATGGGAACGGCGCCAGTGCAGCCATAGGGGGAGAAAGGTCCCCGTTCGATTCTCGCCCCATTCGCTCTCTCTCTCTCGTGTCGGGAGGGAACGCGCGCTACCAACTGGAAGTCCTTGAAACGCGGGCACCCGATTGGCCGTCGGGATTGGCGCGCTGGACAAGAAAGCAGCCCCCCGCGCGCTCTCTCGCGCGCGAGATCAATTCTGCATTTTGCACTATAGCGAAAATGTTGAAGGCGAGTAGCTTCGTTTCTTTCTGTCCCCTTAAAAAAATAAAAAAAGAGAGACAAAGCCGTTCACTTTTAGCATCTTCACTGTGTTGCGAGATAAAGAATTGATCCCCCCCCCATCTCTCTCGCGAAAATCACCGAAGACGA